ATGTGGATACAAGATATGATCCATAGGAGGGGAATATCTTACATTTTGATAGAAAGAGAGCCGGTGACATCACCAGCCCCTATCTGAAAAAGTTGAAAGATATTCATCTCGAAGTGCTCAGAGCGGTATAGTCAGTTCAGGATGAATACAGGTAATAACATGATTTGGCCAGGTTCTAGGCATCATGCCATGTCCAGACTGTGATGGATTCTGAGTTACTTGTACCTGCCTTTGTTTGATTCTTACTCATCATCTGCTGAAACAAGTAATACAAATACATAAAAACACAGTTAGCTCCCTAGATACAATCAGACTGCCATTGCCTAATCTCTTCCTTCACTTTGCCAGCTCAGTAAGGTCCTGAATGGACAAGAAGGTGTTCTTTAATTTGAGGAGGCCAAACTATGCGTGGTTGTTGCCAGACAACAAAATCTCCACCTTGTATCCAAAAATTCATTATAGGCTGGGAATTCCACTTCCACACCCTGTGTGTATCGACATACTGAGATAAGTTGGATGATGGGAATATTATCGGCTGTGGCTCAGTTGGTAGAGTCATCGTCTCTCAACCGGAAGGTCAAGGGTTCGATCGCTGAGCAACATGTCCGATGTGTTCTTGGGCAAGATGCTTAACCCTGAATTCCTCCTGCTGCTAACGCAGCAGTGTATGAATGGGTTTAGTTACTTCTGATGGATGACACTACATAGCAACGACTACCATCAGTGTGTGAATGTGTAGGTGTGACATACAGTGTATAAGTGCTTTGAGTAGTCGGAAGACTAGAAAAGCGCTATAAGTTCAAGTCCATTGACTGGATGCAAACTACCTTTGTTTTATGTGCATCTCTGTCTTGAAAAATATTTCACATTGTCAGAGATCTCACTTATTGATCTTGTCAAGCATCATAATGATGGTCCTGTACCAACACTAAATGCAAAGAAAAAAGGTTTTATTCTACTTCTACTTTTACTCTCAGGCAATGTTAAACCAAATCCAGGCCCTGCACTGAATAATATTGCTACACCTGATGAATTCAGAGCCAGAACTGGCCTTGGTATCATTCATATCAATGTTCGGAGCCTTGTCCCAAAATTGGACGTAATTAAAATTTGGACACAGTCAACTGATACTGATATTCTTGTATTGTCTGAAACATGGCTTGGTAAGTCAGTCTCAGACAAAGATATTTTTATTAAAGGTTACAATGTCTTTCGTAGTGATCGGCCCAGAAAAGGTGGTGGCGTTGCTATTTATGTCAAAAAATAAGTTCCATGCTACCATCCTAACATCTGTGACCATCAGCAAGCAATTTGAACTTTTTGCCCTGAAACTTGAATTCTCTCAGGGCCAGTCTATCTCAGTTTTGGGTTGTTATAGACCTCCTTCAGCCTGTTTGGAAGCCTTGTCATCCTTATCCAGCTATGTTGCTGGACTAAATTCCAGTGAGCTACTTTTGGTTGGGGATCTAAATTGTGATTGGCTGTCCACAGCCACGGACAGCCTCATATCTGTTTGTGCCTCTCTAAACTTGTCTCAACTGATTGATAGTCCAACTTGTCCTAATATTAAACAACCCACAAGATCAACCCTACTGGACTTAATTTTGACAAATTCCCCTCATAAGTATACAGATATAGGGGTTTTTGCAAATGATCATTATGCCTTTGCAACAGTTCGAAATGCCAAACTTCCCAAAACCAAGCATCGGCTTCTTCTTAAAAGAGATTTTAAACACTTTTACAAACAAGCTTTTATACATGATCTGGCTTGTTTTGATTGGACCACAGTTTTTCTCTTTGATAATGTAGAGCTAGCCTGGAAGTATTTTTATGACGGATTTCTGTTTTTAATAGACAAACATGTCCTGTATCGCATATTCAGGGTTAAAGGGTGAAACAACCCCTGGTTTTCAACAGAGATTGGAAATCTACTTAAAGATAGGGATGTTGCCTGGGCCAGGGCAAGGAAATCCAAAACCCCAGTGGATTGGCTCCTCTTTCGCCAGCTTTGTAATAAATGTACAGCCCTAATTAAGAGGGATAAATCAGAGTATTTAATCTCTGAAACCACAAAAAACCTTAATGACCCAAAGAAATTTTGGAAAGTCATAAAATCTTCTTCTGGCCATGTGTCACCCAGTGAGTGAGTCTTGCATCCTGACTGACAAATCAGCCATGCTAAATTGTTTTAATGAACATTTTATTTCGGCTGGCTTTTATTTGACTCATTGCACCCTGATTTGGTAAAATCCGACAAAAATCAGGATAATGCGTCACTGGCACCTGAGGTTGATAGTCAATTTACTGTTCATCCTTTTCAATTTATGCCAGTGTCTGCCACTGAGGTGCAGAGCGCATTACAGAAACTGGACTCTAGGAAATCAGCAGGTCCTGATAAACTTGAGGCGTTCTTCCTTAAGTTGGCTGCTGATTTTATTGCTGAGCCTCTTTCATATATTTTTAACCTCAGTCTGATCAGCAATGAAATCCCAAAGGTCTGGAAATCAGCATTTGTTCTTCCCCTGTTAAAAGGGGGTGAACCCTCACAAGTGAACAATTATAGACCAATTTCTAAACTTTGCATTTTGACTAAAGTATTTGAAAAAATCATTAGTGAACAACTGAAGGATTTTTTGGATGCCAATAATGTGTTATCTAAGTATCAGTCAGACTGACATTATTGAAAAAATTGCCTCTTGGTTTGGCAACTATCTGTCAAACAGAACGCAATGCGTGCAAATGGCAGGATCCACCTCTTCCTTTTTAGAAATCTCAAAAGGGGTGCCCCAAGGTTCGATACTAGGACCTATTTTATTTTCCATTTATATCAATAACATGTGTGAAAATGTGTCAAATGTCATGTATCACTTTTATGCTGAGGACACTATCATCTATTGTTGCTCAGCATCTGTTGTACAAGCTTTTGAATTTCTGCAGTCACCTTTCAATGTTGTCAAGTCTAGTTTGAGGGAACTAAGGTTGGTCATAAACACTGATAAAACAAAGCTCATGTTGTTTTCTCATTTAAGTGGAGAAACAACAAATGTCCCACTGATTTTAACTTCTCAAGGAAATGTAATCGAGCTTGTCAAAAGCTACAAGTACTTGGGATTTATTCTTGAGTGTGATATGTCTTTTAAATCACATATTGCCAATTTGGCCTCTAAACTTAAAGTGAAGTTGGGATTTTATTACAGAAATAAATCTTGCTTTTCCCTCAGAGCAAGGAAACTTCTTGTTTCATCAACCTTTCTTCCTTTGTTGGATTATGGAAATGTACTGTATATGGGCGCCTCGGCCAAATGTTGACAGTCATTGGACACTGTGTATCACTGTGCGCTGAGATTTGTTACTGGTTGTAAACTCAACACACTCATCACTGTGACCTGTACACTAACTCAGATTGGCCATCTTTGAAGGTGCGCAGCAATATACACTGGCTGAAGCTTATTTATAAAGCTCTTCTTGGTTTGGTGCCTTCTTACTTATGTTCTATTACCTTCAAAGAACCAGAATCCACTATGCCTTGCGTTCCTGTGATGTCTTTAAACTGTCTGTGCCCCGTGTCCGCACTGAGCTCGGGAAATGAGCGTTTCGTTTTGCTGCTCCCACCGCATGGAACTTTCTCCAAAATTAATTGAAAATGGCGGATCTTATCTCGCTTGAAGCCTTTGGCTCAATCTTAAAAGATAAAATACGCGAGTCAATTGGAGAGTGCCTGTGTTTCTGAATTGTAATCCGTGATCAAGATTCTGCACTTTATTTGTAAATCAATTTGCACATTGTAAATCGTTGTTCTCTCTTAACTTGTTGTTTGTAAACTGTCTCTTTATCATGTAATGCTTTTTATTTTTGTGCTGCTGCCTTATTGGCCAAGTCACCCTTGTGAAAGAGATCCTGATCTCAATGGGTTATTCATCTAGTTAAATAAAGGTTAAATAAAATAAAATAATTTACCATTTACCATTTACCATTCTAAAAGTCAATAGATGAAGGGGATGTAGAGATGAGCATGAAGGATGAGGTATGAATGGATGAGTGTAAGGGTCGAGGGATGAGGGTTGAGGTATGAATGGATGGGGGTAAGTGTTGGAAGATGTGGGTTGAGAGTAAGGGTCAAGGGATGTGGGATGAAGGGAGGGGGGTGAAGGTTGAGAGTTTGCAGGATGCTGACATGTGATGAAAACGTTGTGCTGATGTTGTAGTCAGAGACCAAGACGTTCCCCAGAACAGAATGCTCAGAGACCGAATCAAGACCGAGGCAGAGCGAGGCCGAGATAAGAACAAGACCATAAATATCTCTGAAAAATCATCATCTTGTGTGCAGCAGGCGTGTCACTCACTTAGACCATTTGCGGACATAACCTAGGGATTAAAATCAAGTTATGAATCAATTGAAGTTATTTATTATTTCTTCTAATTACAGTAATGACAGAGAAAAATAGCTTTACAGTGGTGTTCGTGACTGATCTTGATTTGTAATCCGGAGTCCGCCTGGTCTGAGACTGAGACAAAACCAAGGAAAAATGCTTTCGATTCCAAGCAAGACAGAGACCTCCAAAAACTGGTCTTAAGGCCGGTCTTGAGACAAAGACCAATTTCGAGTACTAGAACACTTTGTTGTGCAGTCCTGCACAAAGAGGGACACCTGGTCACCCAAAGAAAACTAGTATCCATTATTACAAAGACCAAATACTTTTTGATATAAGACACTTTGAAATGTATCAACCAGACGGAACAAACTTTGTCTTTAGTGAGAGCAGAACACAAACAAGCTCAGCGTGTTAGTGAAGTGTCAGTTTTACACCTGCAGATACACCATGTCATCTTTCTACAGAAGCTAGTTTCCATTGTGCGGGATTTGACACTAACACATATGCATACAAGTTACTTTAAAAATAACAATAGGCTTGGGCGGTTGGCCTGGGTCTCATTTCTGATAGCTGTCGTTCTCATGTATCTAATTTAAGAACTTGGTCTCATTAACCACAAAGTCCATACAGTGAGACACACACGTATCCTCTGTACAGTCTCAGTGTTCAGCTTCATCATGGCCGGACGTCTGCTGTTTGTCTTCTTCATGTGTAAGTAAAACCTTTATTGATTTATTCAGTATTATTGTGGACTATTATAAAGCTCTGCAGATTGAAACATGACGTTAATGTGTCATGTCAGATATCATCATATCAGTGATTAAGCATTGAGTCTGTGATATTGTGTTTTGTGTGTTCTGCCAGTTGTGACAAATAAAATCTATTTTTGTCTCCATTTGATTAAAATAAATGAATAGTTGGAAGAGTTGAAATGTGTGAACTCTTGGAGTTATTATTATGTGTAGTCACCTTACTTTCACTGTGTTTTTTAAACAGATGTCTTTAATGGGATTCAAACAGAAGGTCAGTCTGTGATCTCTCATGGTTCATGTCTAACTGTGCTGTGATCGCTGCACTACTGAAGAATTTAAACATTTATACAGCTTATGTTTGAGTTTGATAAAACATATTCATGGTTTATATTTTCAGCTCGTCTTCCACCTAAACTTACAGTGAATTCAGCGGTGATCAAAGAGACAGACTCAGTCACACTGAACTGTCAGACTCCATCATCAGTGTCTCAGTGTTATTACCAAACTTTAAGTGGAGAAACTGTGAAGATATTATCCTGTCTGCAGACACTGACAGGAAGTGAACTGCTGAGGATGGATCATCAGAGTTCATCTGCTGAGGTCAAAGTGAAATGTTTTTACACTGTTCAGAGTGGAGGCAGAAATGTTCCATCTCCACACAGTGACACAGTCTCCATCAGCATACAAAGTGAGTAATACAAGTGTTGTCAATATTATTATATTTTGTTACATCATCAGAAAGACACAAACTGGTTCAAGCAGTCTGATTTAAAGAGTTGGAATATTGTCAAAAGGCATCCTCTATCAGTATACATTTGTCAAGTGATTTATTTGAATGAAAATGCTTTTGCAGATTTGAGATGTATTTGAGCTACATTTGCTTTGTGTGTTTTAATAATTATTTTGAAAGTGATTATATAAGATAATCTGTTGTTGTTTATAGTCCTAAAAACACCAAAACAAACATACTAATGGGAGCACTGGTGGAACATGTATTATACTGTGATCCAGCGGTGATCACAGAGACAGACTCAGTCACACTGAACTGTCAGACTCCATCATATGTGCCTCAGTGTCAGTACTTCACTTTAAGTGGAGGAACTGTGAGGACATTTTCCTGTCTGCAGACACTGACAGGAAGTGAACTGCTGAAGATGGATCATCAGAGTTCACCTGCTGAGGTCAAAGTGAAATGTTTTTACACTGTTCAGAGTGGAGACAGAAATGCTCGATCTCCAGAAAGTGAATATTCCTCTGTCTCTGTTCAAAGTAAGTAAATCTGTCTTCAAGCTGGATCAGCAGAAGAAAAACCCTGTGGTGTAAATGTCATGAACAAAACATTTTATTTTATTTTTTTGTCAGCACTTTCTCAGTTTCTATTGTAACTTCACCTGCTGATCAAGGTGAGTATAGCCTACTACATATTTCAGTGTTGCTTTCACTTTTACCATCATTTACTAACTAGCACTGTCACATAAAACCAGAGTCCCACATTTTCCTTAAACATCAGACTGCTGTTAAAACATAATTTTTTCAGACATTCAAGTCCAACAGACTCCTGATTTATCCTTTAAACAAGTCCCACACAGCAGGAGTTTGCTTGGACAAACTTAGTGGTATGATGGTCAAAGTCATACAATGGTCAAAGACGATACCAAGATTTGATATTTGGTTGAAACGAGCCAATTAACTGATCAACTACAGTGGTGATGGTATCTGTTACAATAAAATGATATTTCAGTTTTGTCAGGATTAGGATTAAGTAAATTAAGATAAATCCACTTTTGGATAGCGACAAAGCAGTTATTAACAGTTATGAGAGGACAGTTGATTCCTTATTATTGGGTTTTATCATCAAAGTTTTATAGTCCCCTCCATCAGCAAAAACAGAGGTGGTTTTTCCGTGCTGGAAATCAAAAGAAAGCCTGATATGTCTCATGTTGTCAAGCACATTGACGTTGATATCACTCTAACCTCTTCTGCTGCAGGTATTGTAGAGAAAGAGTCCAGATGGACCCAGAGGACACCATCACTCATCACAACCACAGGTAGGACATTGTATGATTCTAGATCACTTTTAAAGTATTATTAACTCTATTTTTTTACTTTATTCACCAGGTCTGCCTACAAGTAGCTCTAGTGCCTCCACTATTGTGAGACCTTTAAAAAAAACTTCAGGTAATTCAATCATTTACGTAATACATTTAATTTATTTTTTTCATTATGTTTAGTTTGAAATTATATTTTTTTAATTAACAAGGTTGGACTGTTGGCACAGCAAGTAACAATGATGGTCCCAACTTTGCCCACTCAACATCAGTGAAACCAGAATCAGGTGACATGTTTAATTTTGCTTTAACCTCAATGCCAGTTTCAGCACAAGACAACATGGATGGTTGATGGTTATTGATTGCTCAACCTGATATCTGTGATGGATATACAGGTTCATAACTTTTTGTGAAGAAAGCTTTCCTGCTGTGTGGGATTATTTGACTGTTTCATGTAGTGTGTTTACGCTCTATGTTGAATAATTCAGATAACCTTAAAGCCAGAAGTCAACGGACTGACTTAGATCAATTGTGTTACAATCCGGGGAGAGCAGGGGCAGTTGTATCCTGAAACTGTGCAAAAGCTCCATTAGATTAAAAAGCAGATGCATGGAGTGCTGCATGGAAGTTGAAAAAAGTTTTGATAATTAATCCTTCTGGTGCTCTTCAGTGCGAGTATCCAACTTAAAGGCTTTTGAAGAAGTCTGAGTGCCTCAGATTTCTTCAAAAGCTCCCTTAGATTGTCTTATCTGAACAAAAAAGGAACCACTTTTGAAAGCTACCAACTTCATCGCCTTTGGTTTCTTTTTAGGTAAAAGGTTTGTGTAATTTGCGTGACTTGAATGTAAATGTTTGATAATCAGCTGATTGCACTGTAAACCCGAACAAGTTGAAAGTACTCAAAATGTTTGTCGTAACTGATTACCTCAAAGTTTTTGAGTAGTAGAAATAAAAATTTTAGTAGAACTGAAATTAATAAATATAATTTCAGTTCACTCAATTGTTTTCTTATTTTCTTTTTTAATTTTTAAGTTTTCCCAACTCAAATGTATTACTTATAAAAAATATATATTTTTAAGTTATGCATGCTCGCTTTAATTGATTTGATGATACTCATTCAAATTAAATCCAACCAACTCTTCTACTCAATAAATGTATTTGTGCTCAACCCAAAGCCTGGGGGAAATCTAATCGAAAAAATCAAATTGTGCTAAACTTATACACCGAAGGAAAAAGATAAACAAAATAACTTCTCATTAGCTCAAAATGTACAAGAAAACCCTCATTTCAGTAACAATTGTTAAAAAATACTAATACAACTCACTTTGTTCAGTTCACCTTTTTTATTCAAGTTTAAAACAGTCTATACAACTTGAAACAACTGGAATGGTTTTGTAGATCCAGTCATGTGTCTGTATTTTAATGGAAACATTGACAGTGTTTATTTTACACAGGATTCAAAGAACCTTAAACTGTGCTACAAGGTGCAAATTAAGGACATTATTAGAAATAACCAATAAATTTAAACAAAATATGAGAAAATAACTTTTGTGGAATCAAAAGCAAATAAAGATCCAATGATTTAACATAATGAATCACACGTATCATGTGCTGAGGTAGATAAGGAACCTTCTAAAATGATCACCTTCAGATAAAAACCAACATTATGAAAATGTACATCATCCAACCTGGGGAGACCCGTCACATCAAGGTCTGTTTCAATCACATCAGAAATGCTGTCAGGGTTGAACTGGATGGTACCAGTGGAGCTCTCAGTGACCACATAGAGGAGAGCTACAGGGGTGTCTTCAAAGTTTGGCTCATCATCCCATTGCAAAAATAAAAGGAAAAAAAGATGGAGATAATCCCAGTAACAAGATTACAAGTCCTGCACAGTAGGCTGTTGCTCCTCACACAATTAAAAGCATCAGTAAATATGTTTCTGTCTTGACACAACACTCGCATGTAAATATGCATGTTGGCAGTTACTGGCGGTCACACTTTTTTTTCTGTCTATACTGTCTCTATAATATCTGCTGAATGTGAGCCACTGTAAGGGTGAAAGGACAAAATTGAAAGTCCTAATTCTGTTTTAAAATGCGACCTAAAGTTCATTGTTATTATGAGGCCTCTAGAACTCAGATATAGCCAAATCACATCAAAGATAATCATGCTTCCTCTTCCTGCCACAAAAAAAGAAAATCAACTAATTCTTGTTTTTTTACCTCTGACTGCTGAAGCACCATTTTAGCTTCAGCCTAACTACGGGAAGATTTTCTTATGTTCAACAAGGATTGAAAATGTCTTACAGTTGGACCTGGCCTAATACAGTATGCCTCATGGAGTGGAAGAATAATAACAGTCCTTATACTCTTTCACTGTAATTAACACATGCAAGCCTTATATTTAGATAGAATATAGAAAAATCTAAACCCATCTCTTCTATTAAAGTCTGTAAAATGCAGGAAGTCACATTTTACTTTACAAAAACAGTTTACACTAGTCATTGATATTGACATTTTCATAATTGCACAATTGCACTGAGTACATACCTTGCAGGTCTTGAAGATCCCCTTGCCCGTACAATGGGAGGGTATGAGGAGCCAGAGTGCTTCTTGTGTACATCATGCTGTTCCTAGGCCAAAATTATTAACCTTAGCTGCAGGTTAAAATGATTATTCTTCTGTATGTAATTTACCTACAGCTTATATATCCTCCTGCAGCGCCTGTCTCTCATGTCGCTGAGGCCTTCTGCCTGTATGCTGTTGCAGTGTGTGTCGGTCCAGCTGGCTGTAGAATGTGTTGTGAAGGTTCATATTTGTGATGCAATGGAACTCAGCAAACACCTGCAGACCTGCAGAAACATAAAAGTATATTGATGAACACTTTTTAACTGTAACACTGAAAATAGATTATTTGTAATTTTACTTAATATTCAGTTTGATCCAAGGGAAATAGATTCAATTAGCAATATGACATAATTTAGATTATTCCAGTTCATCATAATCAAATGCTTATGTTTATTTTAATTTAACAACAAATCATACCCACCAATACAAAGGTTGATATCTGGTAAGTCAGGTGACTGGGGGGATGATGAAATGCCTTCAGCAGCTCTCCCTTAATGGGCACAAATGATATGAAAACAAGCTAAGATTAGTTAAAATAATGGCCCTGTGAAAAACTGCTTGCACTATATCCTTGAAACTATTTTCTAATGTTCTGTTGAACAAAGACATGTATGTTTGTAAGGCAGTACAGTTCATCACACCACGAACTACAGTTTCAACAAACAGCCCTCACCAATATGAAACTTTTTGTCACCACAGTGGAAAATGTCCCTCATGTTATAATGCAGTAGACCATTAAAGATTATCACTGTACTGTTGGGGCAGACAGAAGGCTGTGGGTTCACAGGTAACAATATAGAAAGTTTAGAAATGGCTTACTTCTTACCTGAAGTAAAGCTTGAAGTTCAGTGCTCTTCCTCCACTTCAACCTGATGGGAAAGATCAGTCACATACGATATAAATACAAACCAGGATCACTCATTAAACAAACATATTTTAGTGAGTCACACAAATCTCTATTTAACGGTTAATTCAATATTTAAAAATCATTTATGTTGCGTTCCGTTCTTCTTTGTCCTGCAGTCTGACAAATGATTACGACGAAGAACATTATATTTGATCTCAAACACGTCAGCGCAGCAGCTTACCTGCCTCCACAGTAGGGTCAAAGTTCATCTAAATAACGTTGCTGCAGTTTTCAACAACAGTTAGCTCAAGGTATTAGCATACGTTATAGCTTCTGTTAACGTTATACACCAGTAAACAGACACGAGAAGTTTGAGAAACTTTTTTACTCACCACAGCAGATGACTTAGAACAAGGAACAGCCCGAGACTTGAAATAATGCCAGTCAGTTGAATGGTAGTGGCTTCAGTCACTGGCACACCGTCATGTTGACGTTACCCTAACTTTCAAACTTGTGCCGCTTCTAGTATGGCCGTTGTGAGTTTTTCAATAGCGTGAGTGAACGTAGCGACGTCGATGACGTCAAACGCTGCGTCCCTCTGTTAACTCAAATGATATGATTTAGACATGGATATTAACTCAAACACATTGATCCATATTAAATTAAAACACATCACTCGTTCAGAGAACTCAATAGTTTATTGTTTTGTTAACTAATTAGCTGCTTTTAAGTTCTGTACCCTTA